AAATGTGCGAGAGGTGAGTGTCATAATGCTGTTTCTTTTCCATTTGTTCGTAATTTTTCCGAGATTCAGATATGTAAATTTTCTATATTTTTTCAGCGTTCCATGACCTCCTACTTCGCATATCTTAGGACGCCGATACGCTTTGACTGCAACTTGCTTATAAATATTTGAATATCAGCGTAGGAGCTGAGCCAGTCATAAACATATTCATTGATGATAATCGTAGCAAACAACTGCGATTACCGATCGAAACTTGGAATACGCTAATAGGGCAATATGTTGACATCTAAAGATTTCTGCAGACCAATTTTTACAAGTCATCGTCTCCCCCGATGTGTATAGAAGAATTAACAATAACATCATGTAAGATGTACAACTCACAAATTGTGAAACTTGCAATTTTTAATAATTGCTTATATGTAACATCAGATACGTTAAATGTTTTATTTACTTTTGAAAATATTAATCACATGTACGGATAGTTATCAGAAAATATCTGTATAATTAGTGTAAAATTCAAAATTTTGTATGCTTCGTGAAAAGGAGAATTATATTACTAATATATTGCAATACATACTGCAACAAAAACAATACAAGAAAGCAGCAACTTTGACCATGAGTCATTCATTGATTGTGAACTGTTAGTGCTTTAAAAAATAATGTATGAAGCCGTGAACAAATAAATGATATTCTGAAAAACATAAAATTATGTATAAATTAATTCTATATGTCTCCCGTGTTACTTCCCTTCCCCCTACTCAGAACGATGAGAATAGTGCTTGGCACGAGTCGGCATGGTAAAATACTCTTTCGACGAATGTTTCATATTCCCTCCTAACCTAACTTATGGTAGTCTAAGTGGTAGGATCATCGCATAGTAAACGAAAGTTCCGGGATTTGAGTCTGGTCTAGTTTCGACTTATTTTTTTCTTTTGACGTATGCGTGACGTCATCATACACACTGTAAGAACCTTTACTAGACGTTTACTAGCAATAGGCGATGATAATCTAGGACAGAGCTCGACAAAAAATGCACACGACGGCCGATTTTCGACTATCTCCGCCCACCGCTGTTCCTTTTACCTCACCACTCCGCATGCTGCCTACAAGTCGCTCGAGCCTCAGGAGCGTGTTTCCAACAGTTTTCCACGTCACCCATGAGGTACTATTGTTGACGCGTTTTTTTTTTAATGGTATCCCCAGTAGGCCTAATCCACTGATGACTGTAACAACCCGTAACTAATTAAACAGAAGCGAAATAAAATATGTTAAATGAAGAATATTTAATTCGATTTTCGGCGTCTTTTATTAGTAAGAGCGGAAACGTCAATTTGCATATTGCATGTAGCGATCCGCATAAGACGTTCATGTTTGAAAATGAAGTTTATAAAAAATGAGAAGCGTTCTTCTTTAAATGACGATTCCTTACCATGTCTTATGCGGCTCGCTACATGCAATATGCAAATTGACGTTTCCGCTCTTACTAATAAAAGACGCCGAAAATCAAATTAAATATTCTTCATTTAACATATTTTATTTCGCTTCTGTTCAATTAGTTACGGGTTATTACAGTCATCAGTGGATTAGGCCTACTGGGGATATCACTTAAAAAAAAACGCGTCAACAATAGTACCTCATGGGTGACGTGGAAAACCGTTGGAAATACGCTCCTGAGGCTCGAGCGGCTTGTAGGCAGCATGCGGAGTGGCGAGGTAAAGGAAACAGCAGTGGGCGGAGATAGTCGAAAATCGGCCGTCACGTGCATTTTTTGCCGAGCTCTGATCTAATAGGTTCGAGCATTCGATAGCAACCGCGGGGCCCAGGTTCGACTCTAGCAACACCCGGCGCGTTTTTTCTCTGGACATATGCGTGACGTCACAGCCGCCATCTTAGCCATAACGTGACGTCTACTACCAATAGGCGACGGTGGTCTAAGCGGTTCGAGCGTTCAATAGCAACCGCGGAGCCCAGGTTCAAGTCTAGCAACACCTGGCACGCTTTTTCTCTCGTGACGTCACGGCCGCCATCTTGCTCATAGAATCAAAAATTCTGGGGAGGAGGAAGGGTATCAATAAAGAAGGGGTATCAATAAAGAAGGGGGGTATCAATAAAGAGGGGGTATCAATAAAGAGGGAGGTAATAATTAAAATATTTAATTAATATATACATATTTTGCATAATTAATTTGCAATTTGGGTTAGAATTCCCCTTGTTTAACTATTCACCAGGTGCCGTCCAACCTTGTATCACACCACCTTCACCTAACCTAATCTAACCTAACACCGTGTCAACCTTTTGTCTCGAGAAATTACGATGTCGCAGGGAAATCAGAAATATGGTGTTTACAAATGTTCAAAATGCGTACCACCTTATTATACACATTGCTGTAATCGTCTTTTGACGCTGCTAGTAGCTCACAAGACTTCCTCGTGGCTCAGCAACTGGCAAGCGTTCCGAATTCACTCCTTTATGTCGTCTCTTGTTGTTAGACGATGTTGATAATGTTGGTTGGTAATGTTGACCATTTTTTTTAATTTTTTGTATTATCCACGCGGTCATTGTTATGAGAAATTGTTAAAGTGTGGTCACTTAAACGGTTGTTACTTGAAGGTCAACATCCACAATAGCCAACGTCGTCCAACAAGAGAGATTGTTAAAACGTCATTCAGCACTTATCATCGAACATGTGAAGAAACGTGTGATCCAAATGAAGAAGATTTCGATATGTTTATGGTGTTAGGAGAATGTCATCAAAATTACAAAGCAGCCGAACGTCTACACAGAGAGGTACCCTCAACGTGTCCCTCAGTCTCGAGAAAGTTTTAGGTGTCTGGCGCGTCGAGTTCGAACCAGTCAGTTGCAGCCTCAACATAATCGAAATCAGTAGATTAGGCGACCGGAGCAGAGAGGCGAAATAGCGGCTGATATTTTGGCTATTGTTGTTGTGAAGCTTCATGCTTCGACCAGGAGGATCTCAGCTGATTGCGGTGTGAGTCAGTCGACTGTATGGAGGATTTTGAACACCAGTGGTTATCATCCATACCACATCAATTTGTATCAGGAGCTTGGAAGAGAAGATTTTCAGAAACGCGTAGATTTCTGCGAATGGTTATTAAGAAAAAACCGGAACTTTCATCGATCTATTCTCTGGACTGATGAAGCAACATTCAAAGGCAACGGAGAAGTCAACGTCCACAATGGCCATTACTGGTCAACAGAAAACTTGTTTACTTTCTTGCGGCCTCATTGGCCGCAAGAAGTAAATAACCAGCATATTTGGAGCCTCAACACATGGTGGCCTCATTGGACATCAAATCATTGGGCCATACTTCTTCGATGATACTCTGAATGGCCATGTGTATGCTGACTTCCTCGACAACGTCCTTTACCAGCTTTCGGAAGAAGCAAAGTCCCGCTGGAGACGCGAGCAGTGATGTGGTTGCAGCATGATGGTTGCCTGAGCCATTTCTCGCGGATTGTACGACGCGTAATTAGTAATCTGTACTCTGGGCGATGAATCGGGAGAAGAGATCCTGTGGCGTGGCCATCTCGATCCCCAGACTTGACTCCCATGGATTTCTTCTTTTGAGGCCGAGTCAGAGACATTGTTTACCAACGTCGTCCAACAACAAGAGACGATATAAAAGAGCGAATTCGGATTGCTTGCCAGTTGCTGAGCCACGAGGAAGTCCTGCGAGCTACTAATAGCGTCAGAAGACGATTACAACAATGTGTATATCAAGGTGGTATGCATTTTGAACATTTGTAAACACCATATTTCTCATTTCCTTGCGACATCGTAATTTCTCGAGACAAACGGTTGACGGATAGTGTTAGGTTAGATAAGGTTGGGTGAGGGTGGTGTGATACATCCTCAATACATTACATATTCGTGTGGAGAACGGTTTGGAATTCTTAAATACCGCGGAACTGACGAACCGTGGGGTCTGTGTCTCGACACACATACACACGCGCGCGCGCGCACACACACACACATATACACACACATACACAAAAGAGGTATAAATCCGACCGTGCAATCTCCATGCCGTACACTTTGGGTAATGCTAATACCGGCGGTACTGTAATTTTCAACTCTTGTAACTCCAAAAATACTTAATGAAAAAATGTTTCATTACAGTGTTTTGAAAAGCTCTCGAGATAAGCTACAAGAATATGTAATAAGAAATAGGGGTTTCCATTAAAAAAATTCAAGGTGACCTTTACGTGACCTTGACGACACCATTCAAGGTCAAACTGATATGATCATTAAATAGGTTATTTTAAGCTATTTAATTTGGTATGCTTATAACTTTCATTATCGTTGATCGTTTTCGAAATATTCGGTTGGCACGGGTGGTCTGAATCACCCTGTATATATAACTATTAAAGTAATTATTAAATTAGTTATCAGATATTTAAGGAATGTAAATGAGTTAAGTTACAGTTACCGAAAAAAATAACTGTAATTGTAAATTCGTTACAAGTAATGAATTATTTCTCAACCTTGTTCATTGGACTGCTGTACGGAACTGTGTGCTGTACTATACCGTTTTATATGTTCATAGTTTCTAACAACTAACAACATGAGAAGTCTTCTATCCTACCCCTACTACACGCCCGACTTTGCCTCTTTTTCTTTACTTTTTTATTTGTTCCCTAAAATGAAATGAAGTTTAAAAGGCGGCGTTTTGATTGCGTTGAAAAAATCCAAGTAGAATCGCAACAGATGTTAAACGCCAACAGACGTCGAGAAGCGTTTTTAATCATGGAAAATTGCTGAAATCTTGGTATACAAGCCTAATGTGGTTTCTTTGAAGGCGATGATGCAAATTAAGACTTAGGGAAAGTAATTATTTTTTACAAGCAAATTCTCGGAACATTTGGGAACTTCAGTATATTGTATCCCTGCGTAAATCATATAAAATACGAAAAACTTTAAGAGATGTATTTTAAAAGACAACTATAATTATTGAAACATTCCTTTAAATAAGATTTGCGAGCTGTCTGGAAGCTATTTATATGAAAGCTTTCTTCTTGGAAATGGGTCTGATCATTATAGTTATGAGCTTTTCAGCTTCGCAGGTTCGTGCCGAACAGACCGTTTTGTAACATTTATATGTTTCAATTTTCTTATATTAACAACCATTATTTTTTTCGAGCATTTAGGCAACTAATAATGCTCTAACTTTTGAACTCGTAATCCGATATAGCGGTTACATGATAGCACAGTTACTACATTTATATATCGCATGTTGGTTAGGACAACAAATAATTGATCACAGTAGTTGTGTGTATACGTCAATGTAAGTGACTATTCGTTAAGTACGTAGGAAAATATGCAACAATGATCCGCGAAGAACGTTACCGCTTAATATTAATATACTGATCGAATTTTTAACAACAGTTATAAGGGCGAATGGTATGAATCGTCATTTAAGTCCAGGAGACTCTTGAACATGATAATGCTAAGAAGCACTACACCTTGTACATTAACTGTTGGAAAAATGATGGTCCTTTCTCTTCCAACTTTTAGTGCGGTAAAATTCGTTGTTATTAACACTTAAAGGCTATCATAAGTGAAATTTCACTCCATTTTAAAATGGAGTGAAAATTTCAAAAGCAAAAATTTTATTTTGATCTTGTTAAATGTTAAATTATTTGCTGCAAATAATAACTTCTCTACTTTTTATTTAATATTCAATAATAGTAAAATTTATAATAGTAAAATTAATAGTAATATTAAAATAGTAATGTTAATAGTAAAATTAGTAATAATAATAAAATTTAACTGCATTTGCTTGATTTTCTGATTTCTAAAATAAAAAAAATATATATACTGAGGTGAAATTTTTCACTCAGGATAGTATTAATATTGATTTTCCTTAATCCTTGTTTTCTTCTGTATACGGCTATTTTTCTTTTTGGAGATAATTTTTTCTGTTTCTTTTTCCAGGTAATACGCATATCCGCCTCATATTTCACCGTTTTGCAATCAATGCAGTGATTTAAGTTTCTTAAAGTTCTTATTTGAAGAAGCAGAAAATTAGCACGACGTAAAGTACTATGTTATTTAAACAATGCTTGAAACGTTGTTCACATTTGTATTGAATTAAAAATAAGAATATGATACTCAGACGCACGATTCACTTTTCTCTCTTGTATCAAGACAAGTACATTGTCGAGAAAACGAAGTTAGTTTTATCGATGATTGATTGGACGAGTGCAGAATGTTTGTAAAAAGAACATACAGAATAAATAAAACGATAGAAATAAACATTAATTATTTAATGAATGATCTCAAATACCTCGTAGAAGAAATATAGCTTTTCCTCAGCGACCATTATATGTCATTATTTACGGCGGTAAGTTAAGTCGGTAAGTTAAGCTCTATTTTCAAATGACATTATGAGTCGGTCTTCTCCTATGCGACTAGCATAGAAAGAAAAAGAAACACAGCTAGTAGCACCGTCTTTTCACAGTGATTTGCAATTTAAATGATTTTCCGACAGAGCTTTTCTATGCCAGAATATACCGTCACTGCATGTTTCCAACATGCAATTTTCAAACTTTAATTTGTAACCAAAAGTCCAGCTACAATAGATACTCGCGTTTTTTATCGATTATAAACGACCCCTTATATCGCACATTTACTGCTAACTCCTTATATACTTACTAACGCGAATGTAACAGGCATAGCGCGACGTACACAGCAATCAACGTTGAAACGGAATTTTTCATAAGCGAATTTCGCTTCTGTAACGGACAAACAGTTAGATGGACGTCGATAAGTTTTTTCGAGAATCCATCCATTACAATACAGTACGTGTGTTATTGAGTTTCAGCGGTTTATGGCCATTTTATAGCAAAGACATTCGTTACACTATTTATTTCGTATTTCTATTCATAACTGGATCAGGACTCACATTCCAGGTATAAGGGAAATATGCCGCATTATTGCGAAATATTGCGCGTATTACCTTACATTAACCCTTTGCGTGGCAGTGGTAAATATACTTACTACCTTCTTCTCTTTCATTTTTATGATTTACTTCTTACAATTTAAAAAAATTAACTATGATCTATTATTTTTATAATATATTAATACTTATTTTACACGTTTTTCATAGTTTTTTATTCAAATGTTCATTTTTAATTATATTTATATTTATGAACAAATAGAGTTGAGAAAAAGCGAATTTTATAAGAAAAATTTAATTTCTTAGAAAGTATTTAAGATTAGAGGTTGACAATTTTTTACTGAATATTTTTCATGTCAAAATAAAACATATACCTTTTCTAGAATTTTTTGCACATTAGTTTGCTTTTTATTAATAAATTATTTGTTTACTGTGAAGATAAGAATGATTAATTTATCACTATTTTGTACACTTCACAGACGTGTTTTATATAATAAGTTTCATTGTGTATCTGATATATACGAAGGTAGTTCGAAAAGTTCTCAGCCTGACACAGAGATAGAGCCAGAAATATCAACTGGCTATGATTTTTCTCAAGTTTGATCTTCCAGAAAACCTATCGTAATGTTACAGACAGATGCCGTCAGTCGTTTGCTTGTTGTGATCGAAGAAAGCAAGCAAGATTTGGTGTTTCTCGAAAAATGGATAAAGCCGAATATCGCGTAGTGATAAAATACTTCGTTTTGAAAGATTTAACGCCAACGGAAATAAAAAACGAGCTGAATTTCACTTTGGGTAACTCTTCAGCATCGTTTTCAGTGAAGAAATGGGCTGCTGAATTCAAACATGGTCGTTCGTCCATTTATGACGCTGGACGTTCAGGTCGCCTAAAAACCGTTACGACTGAGGAAATCATCGCAAAAATCCACAATGCCGTGTTAAATAACAAGTGAAAGTGCGCTTGCTGACATTGCAAAGATCTCAATAGATCGTGTTAACAACATCTTACACGAACATTTTCACATGAAAAAGCTTTCAGCCGCAATGGGTGCCGCGTTTGTTAGCGGTCGATTAAAAACGCATTCGCATGAATATTTCTCAGGAATGCTTGGACATGTTTAAACGCAATTCAACCGAATTTCTACGACGATTCATCACTGTTAGGCCCAGTTCCACAATTTGCTTTAAACTCCGTTTAAAGCAAATTGTGGAACTGGGCCTTAATGAAACATGGATTCATCACTACACGCCAGAGACGAAACAACAGTCCAAACAATGGGTGGAAGCGGGTAGAAGTGCTCCAAAGAAGACAAAAACAGTTCCATCGGCCGAAAAGGTGATGGCGACTGTTTTTTGGGATTCGAAGGGTGTGGTGCTTATAGACTATCTACAAAAAGGCAAAACCATCAACGGAGAGTATTATGCAGCATGGTTGGAGCAACTGAACGATATCATTAAGTCCAAACGTCCTCATTTGACAAAGAAAACAGTGCTTTTCCATCATAACAACGCACCCGCTCACACATCTTCGATTGCAGTTGGAAAGCTCCATGAACTGTGCTTCAAACTGCTGCAACACGCATCGTACTCACCAAATTTAGCCCTCAGTGACTTTTATCTGTTTTCGAACATGAAGAAATGGCTCGCTGGAAAGAAATTTACTTTAAATACGGAGGTCATCGCTGAGACAAACGTTTATTTTGAAGGATTAGAGAAATCATATTATACTGAAGGTACGAAAAAGTTAGAACATCGGTGGCCTAAGCGTATTAAGTTGAAAGGGGACTATATAGAAAAATAAAAAAACATTTTGTCAAAAATCATATGTTTTCTTTATCAGGCCGAGAATTTTCCGAACTACCCTCGTATATAGGGTGTCCTATAATTGTAACATACTAACTCCATAGGGACATAGAGCTAAGCGAGAGGAACAAAAAAGTCTTACTCCATTAGCGATATCTTGTACAGTTTTTTAGTAATAACCGCATAAAGTTTTTTAATTATAACAGCGCAAAGTTTGACGTTTTCTACGCCCAACGCGGCCTATAGACGTTCCGCGGCAAGCTATGTGCGTAGGGGCTGAGTGATAACGCGTCTCGCGCTGACTGTCGCGTGGCGTCAAAGTGCCAAGACGCCATCACGACAGTCAGCGCGAGACGCGTTATCGCTCAGCTCCTACGCACATAGCTTGCCGCGGAACGTCTATAGGCCGCGCTGGGCGTAGAAAACGCTAAACTTTGCGCTGTTATAATTAAAAAACTATTACGGTTTTCACATTATGGCAGAGGACTTTTTTGTTCCTCTCACTTAGCTCTATATCCCTAGGAGCCCGTGTGCCAAAGTTCTGAGACACCCTGTAAACGCTTCGCGGCGAGTTGTATGCGTCGAAGCTAAGCGATAACGCGTCTCGCGCCGAGCGTCGCGATGGTGTCTTGGCGTTTTGACCCCGCGCGGACAGCGTGAGCTGCGTTACCGGTCAGCTTCAACGCACATAGCTCGCCGCGGAGCATCTATAGGCCGCGATGGGAATGACCAAACTTTATACGGTTATTACTAATAAACTACACGAGATATCGCTAAATGGAAGAGGACTCTTTCATTCCTCTCGCTTAGCTTTACGCCCCTATGGAGTTGGTGTGTTACAATTATAAAATGGGACACCCTGCATATTCAGATTACACTAATTTACATCTACATGGCAGCCATAATGGATTTATCATTTTTAATGTATAAAATCTGACTTTAAATATACAGGGTGTTTGAAAGCTTATCATGCAGACGAAAGTTGGAGATAGATTGGGTGCAGCCGAGAAGAAAAGTCATGTATCATAATGTCAAATCGGTAATAGTTACCGAGTTATCAATTACTAGGTGCGCAACTAAGTTTCCGGGTTTTTTTTATCAATGTAAAATGGAATTTTTCAAGAGAAATACAAAAAATGGTTTATTCAAAGTATCGTCCCTCGCTAGCTACACATTTTTGTCATCTCTCTGGCAATACATGAATGCCGCGACGTTAAAACGACACGTCTTTGGACCGAAACTATTCATTCAACAAATTTTGCACTTCTTCGAAATTGGGCACGTGTTGCCCAGCCAAGCCATGCGCCATCGACTGGAACAAGTGATAATCGGAAGGGGCCATGTCTGGCGAATATGGCGGGTGTGGTAGCAGATCCCATTTCAGCGTTTTGATGGTGTCCTGGACGATGGAAGTGCAATGGCACGGAGCGCTGTCGTGCTGCAATATCACTCGTTCGTGTCTCGTGTCCCATTCTGGACGTTTTTCGAGCAATGCATGGTTCAAATTGATTAGTTGTTGTCGGTAGCGATGCCCATTGACAGTTTGGTCCGGTTTCAGCAGCTCATGATACACGATTCCTTTTTGGTCCCACCAAACGCAGAGCATTGTCTTCTTTCTGAAGCGATTTGGCCATGCCGTCGATGTTGATGCTTCGCCAGGTGAAAGCCACGATTTTTTGCGTTTGGAATTCTCGATATATATCCACTTCTCATCGCCAGTAACAATTCGATGCAGGAAACTCTTTCTTTCATGCTGCAAAAGCAAAATTTCGGAAGTGGCTCTTCGATTTTCCATCTGTCTCTCAGTCAACTCATGCGGCACCCATTTTCCTTCCTTTTGAATTTTTCCCATGACATGTAAACGTTTGGAAATACCTTGGCGAGTCATGTTTAATGCCTCCGCAAGTTGATCTTATGTTTGCGTATCATCTTCATCCAATAACGCTTGCAGATCGGCGTCCTCAATTGTTTTTAGTCTTCCGGAGCGCTCCTTGTCCTCAATGTCAAAATCGCCACTTGTGAAGCGTTTAAACCAATCTTCACAGGTAGTTTTCGATGGTGCATGTTCGCCGTAGGCCTCCTCAAGCAAACGACGTGCTTCAGCTGCACTTTTTTCAAGTTAAAGCAGAAAAGCAAAACTTCCCGCAAATGCTGTTTAATTGGCACAAAACTCGACATCTTCGTTGTTAGAAAAAATATTTTTGCGTTGCGATATGTGTTGGTATTACGACTGGTTATTGTTAACAGATGTCCAAGCTATAAAAGAAACACAACTTCAGACATGTATGTCGACTACATATGTCGTTAGCGCCAGCCATGTGTGAAACTTAGTTGCACCCAGTAAAACATGTGAACCAACGAGCGCGTAGAAAGCGGAAGGCGGCCGCAGTAAGCACATAGACATTTGATGCAGACGAAGTCAGCGAGTGGCGATAAGCAAGCGTGCGCGACGAGGAGCGAGCGAGCGCAAGTGACAAGAGGCGAGCGAGCGCAAGCGACAAGAGGCTCGCTCGCTCCTCGTCGCGC